CTTACTCTACTGTGCTGCTCTTCCTTACTCTACTGTACTGCTCTTCCTTACTCCACTCCACTGCTCTTCCTTACTCTACTGTGCTGCTCCTCCTTACTCTACTGCGCTGCTCTTCCTTACTCCACTCCACTGCTCTTCCTTACTCTACTCTACTGGTCTCCCTTACTCCACTGCGCTGTTCTTCCTACTGTGCTCCTCTTCCTTACTCCACTCCACTACTCCTCCTTACTCAACTCCACTGTGCTCTTCTTCCTTACTCCACTCCACAGCTCTTCCTTACTCTACTGCAAGGGTCCTCAAACTTTTTAAACAGCAAGCCAGTTCACTGTCCCTCAGACCACTGGAGGGCTGGACTGTGGGCCCCAGGACTAGTTGGCTGTAAGCAGGACAGGTAGCAGCGGCAAAAATCCCTGGCGGGCCGGATAAATGTCCTCTGTGGGCCGCATGTGGCCCGCTGACCGTAGTTTGAGGATGGCAGCTCTACTGTACTGCTCTTCCTCACCCCACTGTGCTGCTCTTTGTTTTCTCACCAATTGCCTTTCTTGTGAATATATATGTGTTTCTATTATAGCATGAATACACAACTGCTGTCATATTCACATACTGTTGTGTTTTAATTAATGAAAACCATATTTACAGATATACATACTAGTTCTTTAAAACAGCTATAAATCAAGCCAATATATCAGACTTTCAATTTTGTTAATTTTGTACCTGTATCTTCTTAACTCTAAAGTCTTAGAATTTTCTGTCATAAGTAAAATCATTTTTAATAGGAAGACAGTGAATGGACACGCCTAAGCTTACCAAACTTCTTGCTTTCTTTAGTGGTGCCAGTCATCTTGATCTTCACAACTTCAAAGAAATCTTTGATTTCTCTTTCATATAATCGGGATAAATAATCCATATAATTCTTAAAATAAAAGTAACACACATCTTTTTTAATAAACACTTATAACAATTTCCATTTTTTCACTCTCCCCAAATCCTTCTTGCTTATTTTAAATTTTGTGATCCAAAACTTTGATGCATTTCATAGAATATAAGTAGTCTATTTTCTTATTTAAAAAAGTGAATATGCATCGTAACATTAACAATTGATAAAAACACGAAATCAAACATAATCATATTTATAAGTTCACTTTTCTGTATTACCTTGTGTATATTTCAATTATCATTACAATCATTCTATATAGGATATCTGAATCAGTACGAATACATTTCTCCAGTATCACCCTGTAATGACAGCACAGTATTTCATTTTGTTGGGATACCATATTTGGTAAGCCAGATCCCTAATATAGGACACAGAAGTGCTTTCAATGTTTTGCTAAGATAGATAAGGTTATAGTAAGATTTCACCTCCAATGACTTAGTTTCCTTGGAATAATTTCTTCAGGGTAGAATTATGGGGTTAGAAAGAGTACAGGAATCTTTACAACTATTTTTTCATTTCACCTGTTGCTTTAAAAATGGATTTCTACCAATAATAAAAAACATCAGTGGCAATGAAGGAGAACATCTTGTTTCACTGAGTCTTTGTCAGCTTATGATATTATCCTCAAATAGGTTATTTTCTGTAAGAGTTTAATTAGTACTCTCACAGTTCTCATAATTAAATCATTTATTTTCTTAACATACCTGATTAATTCTTGCTTAAATAAAAACATTCATTAATTAGCATATAAACCCATTTCTTCATTGTATCTGCTTATTCTCACATAAAAATATCTTAGACTCTCAGGCAGGATTCTTCAACAGTGGAAGACCATTTGTTTTTCTGAGTCCTACGTTAAATACCAAACACAAGAGTTTGACTGAATTTAAATAAATTCACAGCAGAAAACTTGTACCTAGCTATTCTTTTAAATTTATCATGGAATCTAAACTTCAACTGCTTTTATTATTTCAAGTTAACATACCTGCTTTTAGAACAGGTTTACCTTTAAGAGATCAGGTGTACCTTTCAAAAGGTACATTAGGTAAATATTTGTACACTGACTCATATTCATCACTGATTTTCTTAGATTATTTTATATCCTTATAAAATCATATTTTGACTAAGCATAATGTAGATCCTGCTCTTTTTTAATGTGTAGGACATATAGATGTCCCACATATTCTCTGTAAGAAAACTTAAGTTAAATGGGCAATTCTTTCCCACAATCTTTGCATAACTTTAAAAGCAAATATACATTAAAATATACCTTAAAATTCCTATATCATCAGGCTTGTCTCACTCTCTCAATGGGACTCAAATGACAAGACACAATTTTTTTCTGGTACTCAACAGAACTCACTGATGGAAAAGGCCACAGATAGGTATGACTGAGTAGGCTCATTAACTTAACAAATACAGATTCCTCTTAGCAGCTTGTATATAGCGCCTAACTTAATAATTAACTATCTTGAGTTCAAATACTGTTAGCCTAGCAGTCTTTTCAGTTCAAATTTGTGCTGAGTATAGGGTCTTCAGAGACTTCAATGTTTTACTTTTTCCTCACACAGTAAGACAAATTCTACAAAGGTGCAACTCAGGTTGAGAGTGACTATCAATCTCAGGAGATTATTAGAAGAGGAAAGCTCATTTCCTACCTAAGCAGGATGGACCATGTCTACTTACTACCCGACATGTATGACCCAGAGACACAGATAGAGACTATGGAAGAAGGAATCTGAGCAGTTGAGCTACCTCTCTTTTTCCACAGGCTCCAATTATGAACAGCAAAAGTCAGGGTTTTGCTTACATTCAGCCTAAGCATAGGTGGGGATCGTGCTAGTAATTATTATTCTGAAGAATCTGAAACAGACTTTTCCTGTTCCTGCCAAAAAATGTGAGTACACCCAACCAAGTACAAATAGCTAATTGCACTTAAGTATTTCTTACTGAAACAGACTGGTTTGTCTGTTTCCTTCTTTCTTCTTTTATCCCTTTCTTCCTTCTTCTTTTTTTTTTTATGAAATTCCTCTCTTTAAAACACTGCAGCAACCAAATTAGGTTCTGAGGTAAAAATACATTACTATCAAAAGCTCAAATAAGAGTCCTAAGAAATAGTCCATTTCATTGAAAAGTCTCACTCATCAAAAATATACTGTGAGCAAAGAATAATTCCACAAATTGTAACCAGGTTGTCTAGAATCTTGTTTCTTTACATTACATTTACGAATACTGCATTATACATAAAGATAGGCCAATAACACTGATAACACAATTAGGCAAAAGATTATTGATTATTATTTGAATATTCATTGGGGACAAAGCACTATTGGCACAAAGCTCTTAAGGAGATATAATTTACAATTAATTATTCAAAATATTAATCCTCCTAAAACTCTAAAGGGCAAAGAATTTCAGTAATATAAATATTTTTCCTTAAGACATCTCTAAATCAAAATTATGCTTAATAAAAATGAGACAAAATATAACAGAACTGCATAACACTTAATAAGCTAATTCTGAGGAACAAAAATAATCTTATCTAAAATAGCTAGCCAAATAAGATGTATGTAAATACCTTAGGAGTTAAATTTTTTAAAAGTATTTTTTTAATTATAATTTTTAATATTATTTACTTTACTAAGTTTTATGTCCCTTTTCTAATGACCTCAGTTTAGAAGTAGAGGAAGCCAGATTTTACTTTTAAATGAGCAAAGGCACTTCAAAGAGAAAACACAGGAAGGCAGATACATAAACATGTTCTACTGTTAAATATGCTGACATCAGTGAATTTATAAAAATATACAATTTGTCCCTTCCTTTTAATTTTTTTTTCCTTTTAGATAGCCACAGAAGGCATGAATTTAAAAAAATAATTTTTTTTTCAATTTGCCTCTTTCTATCACACTTCTCATAAATCTCCATCTAACCCAGTCCAAGATACTAGATAGACAGAAGGTGCTTTTACATCAGCAATCCTAATTTTCTCATTTCATAGAGACAGAGCATATTGCACTTTTCATATTCCAGAACATCTTTTAGGGCCACACTGTTCATGTAATTATTGTGAATTATTAACATAACTTATGCACTAAGATTTCTTATTTTTAAGCTCCAAATTCATAAAAACTTACAGATAAAAGATTTTTCAAATGTTTCTCATGGAATTTCAGAATTTTAGTTAAACTATTCTTTCAGTCAGGACTATGTATAGTAACTATTAACTATTTATATATTTTATTTAGCTATTTTAGGGAGGTGGCAATTTTTTAGCTCTACAGTGGAACCTCTATAGCTGACCACCTCCCTACATCGATCACCATCTAAAGTTGACCTAATTCTTATAGACTGGGCATTCACCACATGTATATATCAGGAAAGTAGGCCCAGTTCCTTCGGCTGGTCAACTATGTATGTTGATCAGTTTGTTACAGTTCCCTGGATGGCCAACTTACAGAGCCTCTCCTGTATTTTTTAAAAAGGGATATGATGTCCAATTCCTAAACTCAAGGTCACCACATAAACACCAGAAAAGTAATGTCCCTATGAATTTCTGCTACAATGGCTATGAAAACAGATTATAGATTCTTACAGGTCAGATACCTCAACTCATACATCTTCACATTTCCTAGTTTCTACACTGTACACAAAGAAATTCAGGAAATAATCAGAGTGTTTAACTAAACTGAATGATGCCTTAGGCTACAGAATAGTTTAAATACTACTTCATATTGATGTTGAAAATTTAGATTTTCTTTGTCTAAGTAAATAAATAAATGTTATCCTTGGTTAATGAGCACTAAGAAATTCAACTGTTTTCTGTTTTGCAAAAAAACATAATATAGTATTTCAAACTCGAAGAACTAAATACAATGACCCCACCAACTTTCCCACCAATGACATTTTGATTCGAAAAGATTACACTTTATACACAGTGAGTACAACTGGCATCAAATCCACACCTTTGTTAGTCCTTCGTATTTCCCATAGTCTGTACTTTTTAGCCACTCCATCAGCTTGGCATAGCGGAGCAAATCTCTATGAAATGGATGATGATTGGGTAGAGAAAGTTCAACAGAATGTTGAGCAAGAGTTGAACTCTGATCATGACCCTAAAGTGAGTGTAAATAAATACATAAATATCATTAACAAGTACAAAGAAACATTGCTACAATTGAAAATTCTAAGCAATGGCAGAACATAGAAAAATAAAAAATACTTACCTATCTACTCTATTATCCTGTGCATACCAACTGAAAACTGCCACCATGAAATACCATAAGCACATACAAATGGCACTCTGATAAACCAACTATTCATTCCATCTTCTAAAGGAGTTGAGAACGAACGGTTTAATAAAGGTTGTTTCCTTCATACCACATCATTACTGAGTAAATGAACTTCTTGATACAGACTAAATTAATAAACACACCAAATTAAGGAAGTTATTCAAAACAAATGGTCTATATTTACAGTATTCCCACTAGCACCTACAATATTTAAAACAGTTAAAAAATGTAGAATATAGTATTTTAGAGCTCTAAAGGACCACCAATGGCTATATCAGGCTTTCCAGGACAATCTTTAATCAAACTATGGTAGAACCTCTGTAAGTTGGCCACCCAAGGGGCTGTCACAAACCAGTCACACGGAGGTGGCCAATGTGTGGGGGGCATGTCTGGTCTGTGAGAATTAGGTCAACTTATGGAGGTGGTCAACTGTGGAGATTCTACTGCAATTTAAATTTTTCCATTAAAGCAATTTGTTAAATAAATATTAATGATTTTGTTTTTTAACTTTAATAAAACTTTTATTTGAGTTATTAAGTTAACAAACAGCCTTAGATGATGTATCTTGACCTTAGCTTTAAAAAATACAGACTTGGTAAATCATCTGATCCAGTAACACTGTTTTCTAGAAGAAATTGAGGCTCAAAGGTTTAAGCAATTTGCTCGAGCCACGTAGGAAGAAAGCTAGAATTGGAACCTTGCTCACCTGTGTCTCAATTCTGTTTTCTTTTTAAAAACTGTCAAATGAAATCATTTTAACCAGACTCAAAAATTGTAATTGCCTACTAGTTATTAGCATATACAAAAAAATCTTTCCGTTTTTCTTTTGCAACAATCTAGTTTTTCTTGGCTACTTGGTCAATGGCCATGGGACTCAAAGCTAGTATCAAAAAGACAGGGTGTTGAAGGATTAAGGAATAGGTTAACCTTGAAAATATAATTTCCCAAAACAAGCAAAGGGCAAAGCAATACCAATTTATTTGAAACAATTCTCAATCTAATTTGCCTTTATGGTCAGAAGTTATTTGTTAGCATTTTGTGTAAACTCTAAAATAAAATAACAGACTGATAGAGTCTGGGGGTTGGTTGCCTCATTTCCTGAGGCAGGTAAATAACTGAATTCTTTAAATTCAGATAAGTTTCCTGAATTTAAAGAATTTAAATTTTTTTTTTAATTATTTTTTTAAATTATTATTATTTTTTCCTATCTCTGGTGCTTGAATCAAAATAAATTATTTTACTTTAAAAGAGATTTCTTTCATCTAATTTATGTGCTTTGCTGTATATACAAAGTAAGAACTTAGTGGTTATTTTTTTTTAATCTCTTTTAAATACAGTGTATTCAGGAAGAAAAATTTCTGGCCTAGACAAATAAATAGTTCCTAATAATTAAGAAGTACCTTTAAAGCAAGAAAGATGTAAGTATAAGAAATACTAGATACTAAAATTTCTATCATTATCTGAGTCTCTTCTTTATTAAAGTTTCAAAGCAATCTGTTGGAAAATTTCCTTCATGAGAGATTATAGCCCCAATTTAAAATGGAAATAAAAGAAAAAGGAAGGATCCACTACACGGAAATTATGTATAAAATGGTATAAAATAAACTATACTTTTCAGATTCATCTTACTGATATCTACTTAGGTTAACTTGGGAAATGGAACTAGAGATGGCAGGAAAGTATCAGAAACCTGGACTGACCAATTCAAAGTAACAAGAACCATAATATGGACACAACAGGGGTTCACAGCTATCACAGATGTTATAAACAAGGCATTTTACGTACACAGATTCATAATCCCTTCCTGTAGTTCTAAAATCCAAAAAGCTCTGAAAATTCAGTTTAAGCTTGGTACCTAAACAGTTTTGATGGTAAAACTTGACCTTGACCTGACACTATTTATAGTGTTTAGAGTGACTATTCATATTTTTTACTATAAAAACATTATATGCTTGATTGGAATGATTATATAACATATAGTATATACACTGTATTGCTTTTTTAAAATGCAAAACAGTCTAAAAATACAACCAACTCCAACAGTTCTGGAGTAAGGGAGAATGGACCTGTGTGTTCTTTTCTTGATGGCTAAATGAATATAAAACAATCACATCTTCCAACAGAATCAGTGAGGGCTAAGAGCAACAGTGTTGGAAAATGGAACAATTCTATGTAACAGAATACCTAGGCACCCAAACTTTTCTGTAAAGGCTAACAATGAAAATGAACAAAATTAGTATTACATAAAACGTACAGGTATTACCATTATCCAGGTATTACTGGCAAAGAACAATATAAGCATTATATTACATATTACAGACATGTTTTTAACTGCCACATCATAAGAATGAATGATCAAGATCCACAGATATCTTTTTTCCTTGCACGATATCAAAAGAAAAAAAAAGATCCTATAAAACTGCATGTATTAGATGCTAGATATACATAGTATTATTTTAGGTCTACTAATGTCTCCAAATGGTATATCTTAATTAATCACACTGATTAAAGGGGAAGAATATTTGACAGGCTTATTATATCTTATAAATGCTTTCCAAATATTTTGTTTTCATTAATAACAATGTATCATTAATCAAAACTTTGGCTTAATGATAACTTCCTCAACTTTTCTAAATGACTCAACATAATTATTGTTTATGCTCTCCTACAACTGTTTATTCAGACTATTACATGCTAAGGTACATGTATTATTTACTTTAGTGCAAGGTATCAATCATTAAAAATTTCTCTTCTAAGCTCGGCACCAATACCACAGTGGCGCCAGCCACATACACTGAGGCTGGTGGGTTTGAACCTGGCTCCAGCCTGCTAAACAACAATGACAACTGCAACAAAAAAACAGCCAGGCATTGTGGCAGGTGCCTATAGTCCCAGCTACTTGGGAGGCTGAGGCAAGAGAATCATTTAAGCCCAAGAGTTTGACGTTGCTGTGAGCTGTGATGCCACCACACTCTATCAAGGGTGACACAGTGAGACTCTGTCTCAAAAACAAAAAAATTTCTCTTCTACTGAAAATAGAAGAATTATATTATTAGCATTTATAGAGGATTTAGGCTACAAAGCTTTCACATATTACTATTTAAGCTTTCTTATGAAAACAGCATTTTATGATTATTATTAATTGAAAAATTCACTTCTAATATAAAGAATATCATTATCTACAAAGCATTACTTATAAAGTAGATTAAGTGCTATTGGTATTAACAAAAAAAAGACTTAATTTTAGAGAAAAATGGCCTGGCACGGTGGTTCATGCCTAAAACCCTAGCACTTTGGGAAGCTAAGGTGAGAGGCCAGGAGTTTGAGACCAGCATGAGTAATATATTTTGTCTCTGCAAAAATACAGAAAAATTAGCCAGGCATGGTAGAACATGTGCACATGTCTATAGTTCCAGCTACTGTAGAGGCTGAGGCAGGAGGATCGCTGAGCCCAAGAGTTTGAGTTTACAGTGAGATATGATAATGCCACTGTATTCTAACCCCATCAAAAGAGTCAGATTCTGTCTCCAAAAGAAAAAAAAATTAGAGGAAATGGTTTTAAAATAACTATAGGAAATGGAGAAAGTTAAATAATTAAATTGTTTAATTCAATCAATAAAATAAAAGCTATTTTTTCTATAACTCTACAATGTATAAAAATTTTATTCTTTATACATTTTAAAAATTAAGAGATTGTTTAAAGTTTCTTATTGAATAAAATTAATACTGTAATACATTAAGTCACATTTAACTTCTGCAATCATCTTTTGTTATTGGTATATATTGAGTATTAAAATTTTAATACAGTCTTTTCCTTTCTTAAAATATGATTCTAAGAAAGGAAAAGACTGGGTACCGTCTGTATATATAAATTCTAATTTTGCAATAACCTTGCAAAGCACTTCTCTCATTTAAAACATGGTAAAATTCTATTATGAATATATTTTATAAATTATATAGTTTTTTCCCAATAAATATAAGCACATTCTGTAAAAATCTGGCAAATTATAAATTTTCACTACCATACAGTATTAGAATTTATAATAAAATTAGACAACATTGAACACTTTACTATAGCCAAGCACTATTATAACTGCTGAATACTTAGAAACACATTAATCTTTGTAACAAGATTAATGGTGTAGATACTTTAATCACCCCCGTTACTTAGATAAAGGTGGCACACATAGGTTAATTAACTTGTTCAGGGCAACCCAGGTAGGCGGTGGCTGGGTCAGGACTTGGAACCCAAAAAGTTTAGGTCCAGCCTCCATACTTTTAAGTGCTTTGCTATACTGACTTTCTAACACAAATAGTCTGGGTCAAATTTTGAATAAATTTTCAAGATTTGTGAACTCTTTCCTTCTGTGTTATTACATGTTTATTTTTGTTTTCTTAAAGAAAAAAAAACTCTGAACAAAGTTCCAAAAAACGTCATGAAAACAGATCTTAATTCTAATTCTTTCTCAGTTTTTAACCAGAGACCATCAATCTGTGTTGAGGAAAATGTGACATGTGAATAAGGAAATAATTTTTGTAAAATGAACTGAGTATGAATGGTCTACTACATAGGTTTTATTTTACTTACGATCTTTACATAAATAATGTTGAAAAAAATTTCCAAACTTAAATTTATAACAAAAAATTCCACAACTTCAGTCTTTTCCTAGTTGTACTTTCAGTTCAGTGCATGTTAGCTCATTTTCATTTTCCCTAAGTTATTTGCATAATCATCTCATCACATTGCTGAAGGCAAAAGTAAAGAATTGTAAGATGTAGAACAAAAAGAAGGGGGTGCACAGAAGGCATCCTTTTCAAAACAC